CAAGTCTTGGCCGCCGCGGATTTTATGCGTTCATTCCACGCCTCGTAGGTGTATGGAAAGCCAAACGGGTCAAAACGTATTCGCTGTTCTTGCCTTACCACGGTCAAAATTGACATGTAAATGTGTACATTCTGAACATGGTAATGCGTAATAACGTGTAAACACGTTCAGAATATACACATTAATATGTCAGCTCTGAGCACGTTAATATACCATACATGGTCGCCTTTAGATGTCCAAAAACGTTGCGTTAACATGTTTGTGTGATGTTGCCAGTGTGCACAATTCTCATTGGGTTTTGGGGACACTACACTCTACCAATTTATACTAACAGAGTGTACCTCAACCTCTATATACATGACAGGGCTTTTTCTGTCCATTCCTGTGTTCTTCTTATCAGTTGTATTTTCAAATCATATTTAGAACAACATATTGTTACTTTATCATACTTATATTTTCAAATATACAAACAAATACAGGAACGATTTTAACATATATAAAATGTTTAAAAAAATGTACTGTTACAAATAGTTGCCCTATTTAATATTGTGTAAGAATAAGAGTATCTCTGTGCAAAAGGACACTTAAGAAAAGATAAAGGGCTTCCTTGAGGCTGTGCCAGCCCCTGTGTGACACTTATTCACTAATCAGTTAATTTTGATTTGTTTAGACTTATTTTGAATTGGTTAGTTTGGGATATTGTAATCATATCCGCCCTGTGAAATAATAAAAGAAAGGAGTGACAGCTTCCACATTATTTTGGAGAGGTAGGCAGGAGCGTCCTATTTCGCTCTGCCCACATCGGCGGGACCTAGCTATTACAGGCTCTTTGTGTAAATGTTAGATATGCTGACTGCTTGGACACTAGATTGAAAACTGATTTTTATACAGTGGCTTTTCTTGGGTTTTAATTTGGTGATGCATTCTGTTAGTTGAATTATTTCAATCTGAAATTAGGCATTTATTTGTGCTTTCACTCAGCCCGAGGTTACGCTGTTTTTGATAGCCTATAAATTGTAATCTGTTGTTCTTTTCATTGTTTTGGTGGTTTTATTCTTTTATTATTCATATGTAAGGTTTTTCGATGTTCGGTGTCAGTTTAATTTCTTACTTTATTCTTGTTTATTTTTATTGTAAATTGATTCACATCGACTGGAAAGTATATAGTTTGGTACAACTGTTGCATTTAAATGTGCTGTATAAATAAATGTGCCTGATGTATGTTCTATGGAAATGCTTTGCAAAAATGCAGTTGCAAATACAAATATAAGAGAACAGAACTGAGTTTGCAGTACCCCGTGTAAATTTAAAGTCGGCAGAGCCCGACATGGTAACAATGACAAGGTAACACACAAACGTGTTAACGCGCAATTTCTGGACGCGATAACACGACCAACCACGGCAGGTTAACACAGCTGAAATTGACACGTTGACACGCACATTTTGTAGGTGTTAACATGCCATTACCCATTAATACGCACAATCTGAACGCGTTTACACATTATTATGCGTTAAAACTTACCATATGTGCACGTTAACATGCCAATTTTGAGCATGTTAAGGCAAAAAAATTAACACGTTTTGACCCTTGTGACATTACATTTTGGTGCACCCGCGTGATGTGGCGTAGGGTTTAGAATACAGAAAATGCTGCGGTAGTGTTAAAAAATTACCAACTCGATCGCTATGGAGGCAGCGACTGTACATAATTTCCAGTCACAACCTGATACAAAACAAGTGAGACCGGAAACGGATCCGACAAAGAGCGTTTTCTCGCACTGCCCCCTGGTGGACATGACCTTTAATCCACCAGATAGACGTAAAGTAGGCGTGCAAGTACAGACAGCACGCTGCTTGAGCTGCCTATGCAGTATGCATCGCCTCGCATGAAGCATATCGCGGCTCTAAGTCATCACCCACAGCTCATGACTATAGGTAAGGATAGCAACATAGATTGACCAGAAAACCGTGAGTCTAGTTGAACAGCCTACCCATATGGAAGTATTTTATTTTATTTTATTTTTACAAATAACATGACTTTAATGGATTTTACCCAAATCATATGGTCTTTATCCATCCATCTATTCATCCATCCATTTCCTGTAACCGCTTGTCCTATTCAGGGTCATGGGGGTCCAGAGCCTATGGGTGAATGGCAGGGAACAACCAATGATGGGGTGCCAACCCATCGCAGGGCACACTCACACACATACCATTCACTCGCATATAAACTCTTAACTTAATGTGTGAGACATATATGTGCTTTATTCATGTAAAATACATGAAACTATACATGTACTGTAAAACATTAATCCTATATTCATGTACAATACATATTAAATGTTATTAGTCATTTAGAATTAAGTGATCAGTGTCAACACACCACAGCACACAGTGCGCAACAATGAAATATGTCCTCTGCATTTGACCCATATGTGACTTTCGTGACATAGCAGGGGGCAGCTAATTCAGCGCCCGGGGAGCAGTGCTTGGGGATGGTACCTTGCGCAGGGTACCTCAGTGGTGACTTGTTGGTGGGGGATTCGAACCTGCAATTTTTCAATTACAAGTGTGCTACCCTAACCATCAAGCCACCACTGCCCACATGTATGTCCTGTCTTCATATAAAATATATATTAAATTATTATTGTGTCATACATGCAAGTTCAACATTGATGTACAATGCATATTAAATGAATGCTTTGTCAGTATTAGTTTTTATTAAAATTCTTTAAATTAACTCATGGACAATCATGGACAATGATTCCACACAACTAGAATGAGTATTTGAAAAGGAAAAATTATTTTTCAGTTGATGCATTCACGTTGTCTTCTGAGAACATAACATGATTTTTTTCATGTCTAATTAAACCAACTGAACATACAGAGATCATACATGTCTTTCATTAGAATGATATAAAAGCAACATAATATTTTATTAAGAAACAACAAGCAATAAACATGTGATTATTACTAAAGCTTAGCTAGGCTTTGCAAAACATCAGCTTCAGTTAACTAAAATAGATATAACTGAAGCTGATGTTTTGCAAAGCCTAGCTAAGCTCAAAATAAATAAATTACAGGGCCCTGATGGCATCTTACCTATAGTGTTAAAAGAGATGATGGATATTATTTTTCAAAAAAGGGGATAGAAGTAATTTGTCAAACTATAGGCCAATCAGTCTAACTTGTATAACTGGTAAAGTTATGGAGGCTATAATCAAAGAGAAA